TAGGAACTGACTGATCTGGGCCGGGACCCTCCAGCACAGTGCTCAGCAGGACCGGTTGGAGATGACTGTGAGTTATTTTGCTCTTTATTTTCATTACCTGCCTCAGAGCATGTCACTGAACTCAACTTAATGAGACGTTTCTTATTCTTTATGTGCAGTGTTTCACTGGCAAGCAACAATTATGGGACCTGTAAGTGGATATATGTTCTTATTTGCATATGCATATTAATGATGAATTGTGACATTTATTTGCATGTGATGTTGTTTTACTACTGCATTATCAAGTAATTTTGCTCTGTCGTTTCCTTACAGAATGACAGTCCATATCAAGGGGGTGTGTTTTTCTTGACCATTCATTTTCCTACAGACTACCCTTTCAAACCACCTAAGGCAAGAATAATGAACTATTTAAACAACCTACGGGTTATTCTGGTTGTAAGATTGAGATTGTTTCATGATATTTTGCATTCCCAGCAGTTTTTTTGCACATACTGTAGTCAGACGCCACAACCGAAACCTGCTGATATTCTGAAGATGTGCAGTAAAATATCAGTGGTAGGTTTGAAATGTATGTGGTCTGATCGTCTGTTTCACCCTCTAATTTATAGGTTGCATTCACCACAAGAATTTATCACCCAAATATTAACAGTAATGGCAGCATCTGTTTGGATATTCTAAGGTCGCAGTGGTCTCCTGCGTTAACTATCTCTAAAGGTGAGCCAACAGAAAAGAAGCGCATTGAATGTACCTTTTTCTTAAAAGTCATTTTATGGGATCGCCAAGATGTGCACTGATAATGTTTATGCCATGTGCCAACCTCTCTCTTCTTTCTGTTGCAGTTCTATTGTCCATCTGCTCACTGTTATGTGATCCAAACCCAGATGATCCATTAGTGCCAGAGATAGCACGTATCTATAAAACAGACAATGAAAAGTAAGTATATTTGTGTCTTAATCCTCAAAAATAAAATGTTTAAAATTATATATTAAAAAAACAACAAAGACAGTTCTAAAGTTTTAATCTAGGCTGATTATTCTTTAGCTGGTGTGAATAATAGAGATACCTTTTACGTAGTGTGAATTGCTCCTCTTAGGTATAATAAACTTGCCAGGGAATGGACAGAGAAATATGCCATGTTATAGGGGTTAAGGTGAGCAAGGCATCATGGGAGAGTGTCTTTGTGTGAGCATGAAAGGTTTACTAATCTCTAGACATCACCAGGTTGCAGTACTGTTGGTCACTGGTTGGCATTCCTACTACTGGATGCACTAATGTTATTAATGGATGCAGCTTTTTAAAATTGTATTATACATGAGAAAAACACTATCATTCAGAAATAAATGCAGTCTTACCAAGCATAATAGACTTCTCTCAAAACATAAAATCTCACTGACCCCAAATTTTTTGAAAGGTAGTGTATAACTGGTAAAAAAGTCATTTTATTTAGATTTTTTTTTTTCTGTTTGCTAAAAACAATATTGTGCATGGGACATGTTTGCACATAAGCTGGTGTGATTCATAACTCAAAAAATGTGTTTTTCCTGCAAAATCTTTATTTCTGCATTATTAATTTGGTTGTGATTTAATTCATTTCCATGACTTCGTTTCTATGAAAAGTCCACTGGAAAAATGCTATAGAATTTCTGTGGCTCTCACACATACCAGCCAGTTATAGCCCATTTATGTTTTGTTTTTTTTGTATGGTTTTATCATAGGTTTAATGACAAATGTTTAGTTGAGGTAAACAGTTCAGGCTTTTACTATCACCAAAGTAAACACCAGAAGTAATGTTTGGAGTTGCAGTGTAGACATGAAGAGGATGCCACTGTGTTTGACCTTGAGACGTTTCTGCAGTTTCTGTTGGCGTGAGCCAAGTTGGCAGACGGTCCGCTTACCCAGCATGTGTGACACTGCCTCTGCAACAGCGTTTGCGCCAATGCCACACTTAATTTCTCTTTCTTTCTCTTTCTCTCACACAGGTACAACAGAATAGCTCGGGAATGGACTCAAAAGTATGCCATGTGATACCTGAAGAACATCAGACCAATCTGCAGTATAGCTGGAAAAAAAACTTTTTTTCTTCCCCTCAATGAATTGACAGTTCCCCGTGTATTCAGACCATATCAGTTCTGCTTGGTTATTTTGACCCCCTTCAACCTTCATTCATATGCTGTAAAAAGACCACGACATTGCAAAGATCACCAACTTTATGTTCAGAAAAATGCTTGTGTCAAAGAAGCATGTTTTAACTACGAGCTCAGCCATTTTTTATTGAGATAAGAAAAAGAAAAAAAACATAACTAAGGTGAAACCATCGAACGCTTCTGACTCACGCCACTGACTAGAGGTGCTACTTAAGAAAAAGAAACAACGATTCTGCAGGTGCCAGTGTAACTCAAAGTCGATCTGTTGCTCGGTTGGCCTTCATGTTTTTATATGCTTTTACAATAGCAATGAGAACTATGGTCTGTGAAATATATTCTTGCTTATAACTGACTGTTTCTTACAAAATCAGTCACGTCATTGTATCAGCAGTTACGAAAAAATATATATTTTGCATGTTAATGGAACAATTAAAGTAATTGGTCTGTGGTCTGCCAAAAATGAATATCTGCAGACAATGTTAAGCGAATACATGTCCACTTTTAGAGTCTGAGAACTTATTTTGTTACTTCTTTTCTCTCCTCTTTTTGATGTTTTTAGAATGGGGAGCTATTAGTTTGTCTATCCTCCTAAACACTGTTCTCTCATTGCACTGAATATATGTGATTGGAAGCTCTCAATGGATGACCGATCAACTAATAGCTCTACTAGCTGTTCATTTTGTTTGCTTAATAAAGTTGCTAAACTATCATTTGGTGTTTCCTTCTGCAGTGCCACTGAGAAAAGTTCTTGCTTATCATCACAATTGTACTTGATTCAGTTCACTGTATTCAGTGTCTTATGGCAAGCCATTTTAGCTTAAAATGTATTGCGTGCCATAATGTCTGGGACATTAATCTGGTACAATAACATTAAGGGAATGAACTGAATTTGACACTGTAGTTGTTCGACACATGTTTCTAGATCTCTCTGAGATCTCTCAACAGCTGCTGGACTATTATTAGTTCTCTGACGGAGGAACCCCCATTTGTGAGGTGAATAGCAGCTTGAACCCTTCACTACCAATGATGCTGTCATTGATGTATATGTGGACAGATGTAGAGAGGAGTGCCCATGTTCAATAAGCACAGTTTATTAAACCCCTTACTTAAAGGGTTAATTTGTAGCATTCATTCTTATGTTTAAGTTATTTTAAAACTTGTTAAAATACATACTTATATTACCAGTATACCTTTATACTAGAAGGCTTGATGGTAATACATGAATATGTGTTTGTGTAATCAGTAAGAAGTAACTGTAATCTGACTAAGTATTTTAAAATGATCTAATTACAAATACTTTGTGGAATCTGATTATACAATCCAATTACATGGGATATTCTTACAGTATATTTACTAGGCATTGCTGCTTAATATACATTTGTATTTATTTGTTTGCTGAACTTAGATGGTCTTGATCTTAAATGTGCTCGCAACCTCTTTAGAATCAGCTGGCCAGACCTGTAAACCATTTTAGGCTCTCTTTGTTTTCATGTTCAAATATAGGACTGGGTGCTTGCACCGGTGTCCAGAAGTGGGCGCAAGAGGACGTTTTTGAGAGCAAGACATGTTGAACATATGTTACGTCACAGGGAATTTCCAGTAAGGAAGTCAAGCTGTCTATTCAAACGATCGCGTTGATCTCAACATGATTTACTGTGACCACGTACGCGACAGGCGATTAAAATCGATTGATCGATCTGCCGTTTAACCTTAGTGGATATTCTGCATATCCATGTCTAGCAGACGCAACAATCATCCTGAATAAGGAACCTGCCTTGAACTGACTTTCTATCAGCTTGCATTAGTTGACTTCAGCGCAACATGGAGAAATAAATTGTAAGGAATAAGAAAACTTGACTCTGAATCCCAAATCCCGGCTGTTTGATGTTGATTCTGAATCTCGGATATCTATCAGGAAAGGTAAGCAGTCTTGTAAATCCAGCCATGCTTGTTAGTTGCCCATGTTGCCATCTAAAGGTTGTTGTGATACTTTGTATCAAGTGCTGCTGCTGAACTTCCTACTTCTGCCTCAGAGGCCAAATGCACATTTCAGCTATCAAGGACTTTTGATAAGTTGTTTTGGGTGAGTACCAACACCTCGTGATGCACATTAATGTGTTTTATTATGGTGGAATTTGGTCAGGATCAGACAGTAGAAAGTTTGAGTGACTGATAAGTGTTATGCTGGCTGTGTATCAAAATGTACAAATACAGTATATCTGGGCATCAAGGCGCGTTCGGTCCGAACATCCGGAGTTGATTAAAATAGAAATTCTGTTCGAACAGTACATTTCTGATGTTCCAAACGCGAAGTGATGCATCTAGTTTGTTTTAGATTAGCAGGCATCTGTTAAATAGATGTCTGAGTTTGTTGTCATTCAGTGTTTGAGACGTGGTGAAGTGGTTGGGATTCTGGTTCATTCCAATAACGTTTTAAAATAATGTTTTAAATGATTTGCTGATGCTGACTGATTCGTTTCTGCAGGTCACAACACCAGTAGGTGGCGAGACAAATGCGATTTTTGTTTGTTCTGATGTGAGTGATTCACTTGATCTTTCATTCAACCGATTCCCTACAAATGACAACATAACAGATGTTTTTATTCTTTTTGCAAAATTTGTTATAGCTATAAAAAGACACACTAATCTTCCCTATCATGGCCATTATTCACATTTACACGTTTAATGCTTTTGCCGCCGCCTTGGCTCATACAACGAACTGAACGAATTTTTTATTCCATTCAGACCAGATTTTTTTTTTTTTTACCGAACAAAACATTTTTTATCCACTTGATATATGCACTTCTCCAATATAAAAATAAGTCTAAAAAACAAGATTTGTGCCAACTCATTTTTTTATTAGATTTTTTTCATGTCCACTATAATGGACACCAGGACTGAAGAAAAATAAAAATCCCCATATTTTAACCATACATAATAAGTAGAGCTTGTGCACGATAGTTGAACTAGTGTTTACGATTTTGAAAAGAACACATACTATAAGAATGAACAATGCAGTAAGAATGTGGAAAAAAAGGTAAGATTATATGAAGTCTAAAAAAAACAGTTTGATCCTTTTTGTTGGTTGAAGTAGGTGAATCTGAGTACATGTATAAATGTCTTTGTGTGTATGTGAATGGGTTTATGTGTACTTGCTGATTGTTTTGATGAATATATGATTGTGTGTACAACTAATTCATGAGGTGCTGCTATCTTTCAAGACCTGATGTCCATTGCGATGGACATTTAAATTTGTAAAAAAAATCCTGTGTTCTGCAACTCTGAAAGATCTTCAAAATAACTTTGAATATTATCATTTGATAGTCTTAATTTTATTCTATTTTACACCAGTTTAGCAATTGTGAACGGTTTGTGTGTTGGTAAGCAATTTTTTATTTAGTGTTTTCATAAAAGTCTTATTTTTATGAATGTTTTCGTTACAAAAAAAATTAATAAAAAAATACACAAGCGGCTAATCACATGGGAGGACAGACTAGGATCATGTGAAAGAAGAAGGGACACACACTCCGAAGATAGCGAGTGTAGTGGTACAGGCCAGGTACACAGAGCGACAGAGAGGGACGGGGAGCCGGATTTAAATGCAAGCGCGTTGGTTAAGGTAGGAAGACACTGCAATTTGTTGCAACATCGGTCCCCTCGGAGAGAGTCTTCTCAAAAACAGGACAAATAATCACAGAGAGGAGAAATCA